TTTTTTCTTGTTTTTCTTTTTGCTTTACTTTTCTTACCTATTCCTCTATCTGTAAAGTCAATTATACATTTTAGGTTTTTGATTATTATAAAATACTTTTATTTTAGAAAACTTTTTCTAGTTTTTTTTTTTTTTCTTTTGATCATTGGTGTTTAGCAACAAAAAAAACTGCTGCTGCTGTTGTTGTCTTTTTTCTTCTTTGACTGTTTTATAGTTTTAAGAAGGAAATGAAACAAAAAATAAAGCTGACAAAAAAAAGGGAAAGTTTTATTTTGATTTGTCATTGTTCCTTCTGCTCCCCCATTTTTGTTTCACCAGTTTTCTGTATATAATAAAAAGAGACTAAGGCTGTTGTAAAGAAAAACTGTAATTGTTGGTTTGATTGCAGAAACATTTGACCGGTTAGAAACCCAAAAAAAAAGGTTTTCCCCCTTGATAATATTGGTTTACAAGTAAATGGCTCAAAAAAAAAGAGAAACAAATGACATACAGTTAAGCAATGATGCAAAAAATGTTCAACTTTGGTAACTGAATAGAATCGATCAGTCCCTAAAATGATTACTTTGAAAATACTGAAACTTTTACAAGCTTTTTTTTTTTTTTTTCGCCTTGTACAATAGCTGATACAACATTTTTGCCTTCTCTATCAACACTTACAAAAAGCTAAACTGAATGTTAAATTTTGAATACTTCTTCTCTTTTTTTCTAATGATAAGCGCGAAAAGATGAGCAATATAAATACATACAAATTATGTATGTTTACTTTTGCCAAAAGAAAAAAAGAAATATATATTTCATATTAATAATGGTTGGTGAAATAAAGAGAAAGATGACAAATGTTTGGACAAAATTTGAGGAAAGAATGCAAAAGGTCAGAAAATAAATGGGAAGCAAAGTTTTCCTCTTACTTAGAGGCTTTGTTTGTTTAAGTCTGTTTCCCCAGTCGCCGTCACAATTTCTCAAGTAGGATCGGCATTTGACCGTTTTGTAGTTTCACTAAGGCCGTTTTTGTTCAGACTGTAACCAGTCTTTCTCTTCTCCTTATTCCCTGCCTTCCCCTCCTCCTCCTCCTCCTCCTCCTCCTCCACCCCTTCTGCCTCATCCTTCTGCTCCTCCTTTAACATATTTGTCAAGCTGGTATCTGAAGGATTGATACGCCTTTGGTAAATTGTAGACCTTTTTTGTTGTCTGAATCCAGTAAATAACGTATAGAAAAGCTGTACAGTGAGTAGAATTTGATGACAGCTTATTCGGGCAATTATCGCTGAAAAGATGGGAAAAAAACGTTTTGTGAAAAAAAAAAAAAGGAATTGAACAACTTCAAAAGAAGATTCAATTTTTTTTCTTTTTATTGCTGCGTCACCAAGTTTTACATCCTTTTTTAGTATTTAAATGAAGAAATAAATGCTACTTTTGGTTTGCCTTTGTGTCCTTCAACTTGATGATTACTCGTTTTGTGTTATAAAAATGGTTCGTTGTTTTTTTTTTCTGTTCTTTTCTTCTTCCTCTTTCTTAGCAAGTTTTGGTTTAATTTTATAGAAATGGGCGACAGTGACTGGGAAACAAAAAATGTTCTTCGTGAGATTGAAAGTTATGGTCCATCATCTTCTAATTACAACGGTGCTTCTGAAAGAAAAACGCGTAAAATAAGCAAGGATTTTGAACGGAAGCTGAACAATGTAAATTTGGAAAGAAGAGAGGTTGTTTGCCAAATATGCATATATTTTTTACTCAGTTTACTCGGATAACTGAAATATATACAAATAGAAATTAGCTGGTGTTTTATTATTTTGTTGAAGCAGAAATTAATGAAGTTTTAAGGTTGAACTGTTCATTGTTTTTTCAGTATCAGAGACATGCAGCGCCTGTGCAGGATTTATCAGCTTCAACGAAACACGAGATCAGTAAAGACGATATTATCAAGTGGAAACAACAGGTTTGTTTATAGGTTTTTTCTTATCAGTTCATCTTTTTAGTCTTCTCTTTCCTTCGTCAACTTCGAAGGTGTTCCCGATAATAAACAGTTGTGTTTAAGGAGTTTCTAGACTCTTTGTTTTGCGTGCAGCAATAGAAGAAAAAATTGAAGTTTTTCATTTTTTATAATGACTTTTAAAACAGCTTATAATCGCTTATGGTAATTTTAGGTAATGACAGCAAGCAGGCCATTGAACCAGTATGCAGAAGGTCGAAATCCGAATTCTGAGAATTTTTCAGCTTCTCGGTTTACAGAAAGACGACCATATTCGACAGATTCTCAGCCTTCGCGACCACAGTATGAAATAATGGGACCAAAAACAATATCTGGTGAGGACACTGTATTCAGCGCCAATAGTGCCCGACAATCATCAGTAGAATCTGCACCAATGAAGAATGGAGCTGAAAAAAAAATGGTTCTTTCGCTTTTTTGAATATTAAGCCATTTCCTCTCTTTTTTTTGTTTTTTTTTT